GGCATGGAGGTTTATCAGCGGGATTCTTTTTCAGACAAACGAGCCGGCAGCTGGCAGGGACTCGGGCTGCTGTTATTGCGCTTCTCCATATGCGGTGGGAGAAAGGCTCAGCAATGCACTACCGTAACAGTGCATGTCATGTCCTGGTTAGGTCTCATGAATGCTGTTCAGAAACTTAAATCTCAGAGCCATTATAGCGACACTGTCAAATACGTACAGCCAGCAGCAGCTATTTGGCACTTGACTAATGGATACAATTATGTACCTACCTACCTATTATCGTATGATGATAGTGCAAATGCAGTGTAGATAGCCTATACCTAAAAAGAGTATAGATATTTAGGTGCACATTCCGTGCCATACCTTTATGCATGTCACACGACCATGAAAAGTTTTTTTTTTCTAAATTGTTTCTAGAATTTCTTTCTAGAAATCTTTTTTAGAACTAGTTGTTGAGAGCTAGCCCGGCACCGCCTGGGCTATTTCCGTACCCACGACAGCCTGGGGGGGGGGTCGGATCCGACCCCCCCCCCTGTTATCTCGAGAACCAATGGTCGTATCGAGCCCCGCGAAGCGGCGTTCGAAAGGTCTCTACGAGACCTTCCAAAAACACTCTTAAGATTTTAAGATTGAGGTCAACTTTCGGGTCAAGGTCAGGTCAAAGGTCAAATTCTAGGGTTTTGCATGATTAGGCTTATGGACAGCGGAATCGATAGCTGCTGCTCGAAACTCACCAAAAATGACCTCAAAGACCTAGTGAAGGTACCATGTGCATTGTGCGTATAGGGGTCATACTAAGCACGGGTCAAGGTCAGGTCAGGTCACGAAAGGTCACGGTTTTCACTTTCTGCTACATGGGCGTGCGACATATGTTTTATGGCTTATGTTTCTCGCCGAATCCGATGGTAATGGTTATATGTGACCCCAAGTCACTGTGCTGGTGATAAGTGTGCATGGAAAGCATAAAAATCGTTTATACCATACATAACTAAACGAGGGCCAAGAAAAAGTCAAATTTTCAACTTTTTATTTTTGACATAAAAATGCTTTTTTTTCTAGACGAGCTTTGTCCCAGGAATCTAGTGGTGCCATTTGAATTGTTTTCACATGCGATGTTCAAAAGTGCCTCTAATTCACGAAAATGATTATGACGTCACCATGCCCTATGCATGTTGGAGCTATTTTTTACAATTTGGGGGTCAAAAATCAAGATAGAAAGTTGAAATATGGGACATCAAATGTTCTAACAGAACTCTATAACATATGTTCCCGTTTTTAGAAAATTCTCAAAATTTTGGATTTCATTAGCTGTTTTCCAAAAATATATTTTTTTGAATTTTTAGGGGTGAAAAACGCATTTTATGGAAAATCCGAGATAGCCATTTGAAAGAACTCGTTGAGCTGCATCTATTGATGTTCCTAATTTGTAATTTGCGTTAAACATTGATTTATGGCGATTTTAAACATTTACCACTTTTTGACTAAAAACTTCATGTAGTTACATCACTAAAATCGATATATCTAAAAAAGTGTTGTATTTTTTTCTTAAAAATTGCACAGAAGACGTCAAATTGATAGGCGAGAAGGTATGCCAAGTTTCAAGTTGATAGCGTAAGCGGTTAATGAGTTATTCAAGAAAAACGGAGGAGGGGGTCGGATCCAACCCCCCCCCCCCCCCCAGGCGGTCGCGGGCGGCTAGGATGGGTGACTGGCATGACCAAGCGCTTTGTTTTCCATTGATCAGCACGCTGAAGCGGCAGCCGCGAGTGCAGGGACCACGGAGGTGCCCGTATAGCGCTGTTTGCTCAGCAGTGGGGCCAGTGTGCACCTCTCAGTCCCCGAAGAGGTGGGAACGACCGAACAGCACGCCTAGTACACACTGTGCATGAAGCACAACGAAACGCCCTCTGCAGTATACGGCGAGGGAGTAATGGGGCTTCATTGCCGTTTGATATCTTCCATTTGTTACATATGGTTTTTCTAAATAAATACCTCACAAGTCTATAGACGCAAATCGATGCAATTAATAATGTTATATGTACCGTAAGGTGGGGCTATTTGAGACAGTGGGGCTATTTGAGACAGTATTTAAAATTGCTATAAAATAAAAAACACTTAAGATTTACGCTTAATTTTTTGCTCAGGCGATTTACTGCTCGATTCCACACCTCCCTGAGCAAAAATATCACACAAAAATCAAACGATCTTCATTTTATAGCGATTTTAAATACTGTCTCAAATAGCCCCACTGTCTCAAATAGCCCCACTTTACGATACAGATAGTTAGTTGTAACTCACACTTCCCTGCAGGATTAAGAAAACTTTAAGAAGTAATTCGTCGTAGCATGATCATCAAGTGATAGGTCTTGAATTCAGGATTACTTCTGAGACTCACTGGCACAAGTTGCCGGTCCCGTAGCTCAATTGGTAGAGCGTTGGACTCCGCGTGGTGAGAGCACGCGTTCCCGGTTACAACAGTCCGGGTTCGAAGCGCGACGGGCGCTTGACATTTATGGGCCTCCTGACAGGTATGGTTGCGGTTGGTGGCAGGCCGTAGCCAGGCGAAGTCAGTGAGGGGACCGGCCGTGCGCGGCTATGTGCGCACGTTAAACTTTGGACTCTAAATTCTGCCATAGAACTGGAGTTACGCGATCGGAGGGTAGAGGGCAGGGTCACCGCAACAAGTTTCGCTTAGCGGTGGCTCTGTCCTTGTGAATCCTTCCTAGCAAAAGGTTCGGACTAAATTTATAAAAAAAGTTCATGCACCTGTTAGTGCTGCGGACAAGGAATGTTGTTAATAATCGCCCACGTATAGGAATTTACGTCAGGGGATGGACATTTTTTACGCCCTACAATGAGAGGAGGGATTATTCAAGCTACTCTTCACTCAACATACGTTTGCCATTCGTTTACATGATCTTGGTTTAAGCACGTTCTTTGTAATCTCAGTGCTAGCTATTTTTGTCCTAGATATGCAAAGATAATCATTATCGTTAGAAAAAAATCAAGTAGGTAATCACACATGCTTTCAATTTTAAGTGATACCACTTGCAACATTTCTCTGATAGAATCACTAGATTTTGTTTATTGGTGAGCTTTTCTTATACATCCATTAAATGGAGCTAGCTAATACCCATCACTTATCGTTATTCATCTGCTATCTTTTTCACCATTTATCCCAAACACTTTATCCCGGTTCATTAAATTATCAAGATTCGATTATTTTGCCAGCATGACGCCTCATTTCCGATCAAGGTCAATGCGGGGCTGGGAGCGTGGCGCGACCTTGACACTGGCGTTGGTCACAGTCGGGCCGGTCCCCGGGGATCCATCACGCAGCCGGTCGGGCTGTCGGCGGCCGGAACGCAGCACTGCTGACCGGGGACACGCGGCGGACCGACCGGCCGCTGACAGCACCCAGCAGGGGGGGGGGGGGCTGACAGACCGGCCCACCACGGGAGGCGCAGTGTACTCAGAGCACACAGCCCACAGGTGCACACTGAATGCTGGATAGCGAGGTAATGAATGAGTCTTCCTGGATACACATCGGGATTTACCGTTAGTAAAGCGATGGATGAAAGCTACACCAACAAGGCCAGGTAGCAATCCAAAGAGGCACCTCAACCTCTGAACACCGCTTTGAGATAAACCCGATAAGTGCAACGAAGAAACGAGCCGAGCCGTCTGCCTGCCGCAGCACTGGCCGCTCGTTGGCTGGGCTCTGAACGGACGCGCTATGACCGTCGGGAAGTGAGTCGAATCACGCCAGTGCCGTGACGCCGGCGCTGATCTATGGCCCGATGGATCATCTCTGCGTCACGATCATATGCCGCCCCGGGCGCGCTGGGCCGTGCTACACGTCAATTTCGAACACCGGTCTGTGGTTCGACGGCTTCTCGACAGAATGGTACGTCATCTGGAGCATTGACGAGTCATGCTGTGAAGATGTGGAGCGATCGATTATGTCTCGCAGTTGTGGTCCCTGTCCCTGATGACACTTCACAGCCACTCAGAGACATTCCGCTCTTCAAAAGAATAAACAATTCATACTGACGCTGAGGCGTGTGAACTGCGATGGCAGCTGGAACGGCGCCGGAGCTATATATAAGGAAAAAACAGCTTGTAACAATGCAAGCTCTAATCTATAGTCAGAGCCCAGCAGAACTTCAAAAGCGCATTGAAACGTTCCCTTCCGACTTTTTGTGTATGAAAATAGCGACTTCTGGATGGGTAGGAGATAGGCACATTCTGCAGTCTGCACCCTATCGTCATATATAGGGTTTCCTTTATGTCAAATCACAAGAAAATAGAAACTGCATTTTTCTTTTAAAGCTGGTGATGCTCAGCTAAACCAATTGGTAAGCTCATATTAAATTGCATATGTTTTGTCATGTTTCGCTGTTCACGATCAACAATGCATAGTTTGATTTAGCTCGTAAAATTAAAAAGAACGGTCAGAATAACGACATTATGAAATAAGTTGTACACAAGACAGTATACTTTCATCATGACGTTGGTTTCACAGTTGAGTGTTCAACGAGGTCAAAAAACCACAATTTTTATGAGTGTTTGTCATGGCCAGATTAGTTATGTTAGAGCATCAATTCCTGAATCATTACAATGATTCTTAAATAGTTTCATTGATTCCTATATAACTACTCTCTTGTGACCATAAGAACCACCGTCCCTGCGGTGCTTGTGTCACGTTAGGCCGACACCGGCCTCTCCCGACCGGGTGAAGTTCTGCCCACAATCCGATCGTCCGATGAGTCCTGTCAGCTTCTCTCTGCGCCGCTACTGCGGACTGCGGACAGGCGTCAGAGAGCTGTCATCTCGGGGGACGTCGGCCGTGCCCCCGGAGGAGCTGCGGCCGCGCGGTGGGGCGGTACCGCGCGCGACGCTGGGCGGTGGGCGGTGGACGCCGGTGGCGGCGGCGCGCGGCGGCCGGGCCGGCCGGGCCGACCCGCCGGTGGACGCTCAGTGTGCGCCGGTGGCTGCCGCTCGCCGCTGCCGCCGCCGCTCGCCGTCGGTCGCCGGTCGGCAGTCATGGCCGAGTGCGTGACGCTGCTGCCGGACGTGGTGGCCCAGTACAACGCCACCGTGTGCGGCAGCGCCGAGCAGGGCGACGAACCCCAGTTCCCTGTCTACGTGCGCGTGCTGGTGACGCTCACGTGCTCCGTGATCCTGACTGTCGGCATCGTCGGCAACGTGCTGGTGCCGCTGGTGATCTGGCGGAACCGCGAGCTGCGCAACTCGACAAACTTTTTCCTGCTGAACCTGAGCCTGGCCGACCTGTGCGTGCTGCTGCTGTGCATGCCGCAGGTGCTGGTGGAGGTGCACACCCGTCCGGAGGTCTGGGTGCTCGGCAAAACGATCTGTGAGTACCGCGCCGCCCACCCCGGCCCGAGTCCATGGCCGCTCGCCACAACATTCTGAGTACCGCGCCGCCCCCTCACCCGATCACCGGACATGGCTCATCGCCTGACCTGCTCACCTGACCTGACCTCACTGGATCTGGCTTTCTCACCTGACCACACCGTATCATATTATCTCACCGGATCCATCATCTCACATAAGTCGCCTTCAGACAGGTCGGCAGCGTAACACGGCCCATACTTGCGCTCGCCTGACGGGCTCACTCGGCAGTATGGGTTTATAATGCAGCGCCGCGGGGTTTATTTTGCCTTGCGAATGTTTGAGCTCTTGAGGACGCGCTCTGCCGACCGCAGCGGGCACGGCATTCCCCGGCGAGGTACTGATGGCTTCAGGAGCCCTGGGGAGGCCGCCCGTCAGTTACCAGATTTACTGTTCACTGTTCTAGGAGAACCCCTCCTCGCTGGCCTACGAGTCTATCAGGCTCACTTTTAGTGGCGTCATGTCGCGGCGTAAATGATGGCTCCAATATCAGTAAAACTGAGAAACTTATGGGGGAGGTGCCACATATCACAGAAACTGCCCTGCTCATTTATCACGTCCAACATATTGCCAGGATGACTTGACAGCTTCACAGCGAGAGCACGCGTATAGGTGGCGCGAACGGTAGGAGAATCGGCGAGTTTTACCATTACCGATGGTTTCATTGGCTTAGATTTCAGAAATAAAGGGAAAGCATGTTTTAAATGGTACACACCTGCAAGGTATAAGCGATGAAATATAAACATCTATGGTGTCAGGAGCCTTATATAAATCAACTATACCGCTTCCTTTTATCCGAATATCATTGACTACGTTATACCTACTCATACATAAGAGTACCTACAGGTACTTGGTACAAAATGTGAAGGCTTGTCACCACCTAATAATTTATATTTCATTTGTGCTGCTTGTTGTTTAGCATGACACGATATTGTCCTTTGCCCGATTGATTGAAACATTATTATATGCCAACTTGCGGAGTAGCTGTCGGAAAATTGTTTCCATCTAAAAGACCCTCAAGTCGAAAACAATCGAGATGCCGATCTATAGAAGCTTCTTTCCTGGACTCTAATTGCGCAATGATGCTGGTTTAGAAAAGCGTGTTTGCTACTTATAGTTCAATATTCGTTTATGTTAGGCTGCTGGAAGATGGTTTTATTGTAATCCTTTTAAATTTATTGCATTGGTAATTCGATCTGTGGAAACGCGAAGAGCTTCTTTTGTGCATGTTCATTTATCATTATTTTTGCGATAGTTCTGCACTTTTGGAAATCACGATTAAGTTACTCGTGAGACAGGCTGCTTTAGACTGTAATTGAATCGAAAATTATTTTATTATTATGCTCAGCTCCCAGAAGTTTGAGGCCTTATTTGATTTAAACTATTCGTTAATTGATTCCGTAATGACCGAACTGACCGACAAGTCTCCCAGCAACAGATAACCCCTGCAACCATAATTACCTCCTTCACAGATGACAGAGAAGTCATTTCTCGCGGACATTGGAGACGAATCAAAAGGCTGCTACCTTATCCGACTTGTCTCTCTCACCACACATAATTTAGTGTTGCTGTTTCTAGTTCCTACGCAGTTGAATTCTGCTTCACCCCACTTTTTAGGTAAACTTTGCACCGCCACAAACTGTAGCGGCGCCCGAAGTTTCGGACGATTCTGTCCCAAACTGCAGCGTTATTTACGCCGGTCGCCTGCTCTATATCGTCACGGTCCCAGCTGTCGGGGCTGTTGGGCCCGTCTGGGGACCGGCCCGCAGGCGCCGGCCGCGTTCCACTGAGAAGAGACTGCCCTCCGCACTCACAGGTCGCCACGCGGGGACAAAAACGACCGCGGCACGCCGCGCCAGCCGGTGTGCCTCCGCGGCCGGCGGCTGTTTATGTTTGTTTTTGCCGGGGCATGGTCACCGCCGAGAAGTGTTCATTTCCTGACGGAGCGCAATATCTGCATATGGGGCGGCCTGTGCCGACGCCTCCGGCGGTGCGATCTCAGCCAGCCCGGCTCCCGTAGGATGGTATCAGCCGGATGACGTCATCAGTCCCATCCCGGCGCGGTGACGGACGCCATTCTCGCGCGGCGACGGGGGACCGCCGTAATGGGCTGTCGCCGTATCGGAAAGGCGGCCAGCGTGTCGCGGCGGAGTCCGCCGGGCGCCGGCTAAACGCGCCATCGAGATTCCTGCGCGAGCCGCGCGCCGTGTCAATACCGCTGTGCGTGGCGCGCGCGCGGCTCATTCTGTCGCGTCGTCGCCGGCGGCGTCATCGTCGACAGTCGGCGACGGCGGAGACGCGTCGGGAACGCGTCGAGGCGGCCGCGAGCCGCCGCTATCGGTACGTCCTGACGGCGGGCCGGGGAGGCTGGACGGTTCTGTCTCTCCGCGACCAGCGCAATCGCGGAGGAATGTCGCGCGCGGCGCCGACCGTCTCGCTAGGAGCGGGAGTAATGAATGGTGAGCGGGCTCCCAGGATGGCTGAATAGGACGGCGTGATTGCATAGTTCGGTATCGGTACATAACAGGGCAGGTGATAAATGGTGGCATTATTGATCACTATTGGCGGGTCAGGGAACAATCTCCGAGCATCGTGTACTTAATGAAGCCGTCAGGCCGACCGTCGCATATTGAATTGGATGGCCATGCCGTGTTGGACATTACGCGTTTAAGTGCTGTAAGGCGCGTTTATGGACGTTTGTATATGTTACAGGCAATGTGTGGAATCAGGCATTCTATAGAATCCCTGACTGCTAAGGCATTCTATAGAATGCCTGGCTTAAGCTCCCAGGCATTCTGTAGAATGCCTAAGTATTTTGATTGTCCGAAACACACTTCGAAATTTAGGAGTCAGTGGCAGTAATGCTATTTGTTTACCTAATTTTCTTCGTTGGCCTAGGCCGGTCGTCACCTCACACAGGGCAATGAGTTGAGAGGAAGCGAGGGAGAAATTGGGCTATGCCGACCACCAAATGCATATAATGCCAGCGGATGGCCTACAACTCACTTAGAAAAGACATCTCTTGATCTCTGTAATGATCATTTACTTACGCGCCATTTTCAGTAGCATGTAATGTGCCTTTTCATCTAAGTTCATTAAAAGTTTCTTGATTTCTGGTAAATGGAGTAACACCTATAGTTTAGTTTTAAGCTTTCGCCTTTTATGTGACTTGATCGAAATGAACGAAATTGATTGTAAGTACGTGACTGAATACTTCAAATAATTTAGCATACCACCTTGAAATCCACCTAATCCTTCATCCACCACTATGCAACTTCCATCTTTCTAACAAAGAGCTCCGAGGAGTTGGCCAATCTGTATGCACATTGGCATATGTAGCTCGCATGCGATTAACGTTGTGGAGCGGGACAGGTGACTTTCTCTGTGGCTCGGCCGGCGAGCCGTGTGTCGTCAGTCTCGGCCGTTAAACATCGGAGGCATGCCTGACATTCCGGTCGCCGAAAAGTCACCACGAGGTTAATCGATTGGCCCGAGGCCAGTCTGCGGCTGCCGACAAACCCCACTTTCATCTATCATGGAAAATGGCAGCCAGCACTTGACTTTCGGCAAAGGTACGGTACGGCAATATTCGAGTGTAGTTGTGTCGCCGAGAGTGTGCGTCAAAGAGTTCGCTGTGCGTTATTCCAAATGGGACGTGATCTGGCTGATAACTGTCCGGATGCCTGCGAGAGTAATTCAATGACACCAGACAATATATAAGAAAATATTCTCATTTTATGAGTTTTGGAAGCACGACGAATGAGACGTGTTTTCTTTATAAATCGCATTTTAGCTCTGTTTGATGTATGGCGCCATCGACCTTTCGCCTCTAGCTCATCAACTGTTTGTTTAGGAGATGAGTCACAAAGGTGAGCGGACACGACTCTCTGGGGCGGCCTCCCAGCGCCCGTTCGCGTTTCGGAAACGTTTCGGTGTGTTTGAAGTTGTTTTGAACGGCGGTGCCCCGCTTCCCTTCTAGAGCTGCAGCGCCGGTGGGCACTACTTCCGGCCGCCGTTTCCACGAGCTGTTCTGGTGGCTGTCGCTAGCCGGGGTGGAGGCAAAAATCGAGATGAGAAGCGTTTTTGATCTGTTAGCTCCTCTATTTATTCTAGTCTGGAAATCAGGTGAGTCGTCTGGTCCGTCATGGGTCTTCATGCGTCCTTTTGCCTATACATGCGTCTGCTCTGCTACGATAAATCCAGCGGGTAAAGACGTAGGCCAGTATATTTATAAGCTGTTGAATGGTGTGGGAAAGAGAGATGAATGTAACTGATGGAAAGACCGGCAGCAGAATACATTCAAAATGTTTGCCAGTGCGATGCATTTAGCCCACAAAATTGTACGATGTTCAATGCTCATTGTGTTTTTAGTGCAATTCATTTCATATAAAGTGGAAATCATTTTAACCCTCGCCCGCACATGCCATTTTCCCATCCTAGAACGCACATGGGGGGGGGGGGGGGTTGCCACACCCCCCGCGCCATTTCGTTCCTGTTGGAGATAGAGCTTAGCAGTAAAGACCAAAAAGATTCTTTGGGAAGAGACGAATCCAATGATACCCAGTTTTACCTTCTCAGGTCAGTCATTGACCTTCCAGGTCAGCTCAAACTAAAAAATGTTGCTGTTTTGGGTCACCGTTGGATATCAAGTGCGCTGCTTATCAAATACCGATCACGATGCACTGTTTTCTGGTGCCAAGCCAGCTAGAACCTCTTTGTCACACTATCCGACCAGAATTTTGCTGCTGAGGTCATTTCAGGTCAAGTTAGGTCAAGGTCAATTATGTGTGTTTGTATGTCTGTGTGTGTGTGTGTATACTGATGTGTGCACCGATTGTTTTTGGGTCCATATCACATGAAATCATGATCTGAGAAGCCTTTACCAAAAATGCAGTCATAAAACTTCACAAAAAGTAAATTCAGCTTGCCTAAAACGCAATTATCTTAGATGACCTAGGTTGACCTTGACCCTGACCTTGACCCCTGTACATCGTCGAACAGCATGTTCCATGATAGGTGGGAGGTAAGACTGGCAAAAAAGGCCGAAATCAGGGTGTCAAAAGCTCACAAGGCCCATGGCAAACGCAAGATGTTAAGAATTGGCCATTTGGGTCATGACCTGAAAAACAAGGTCATATCTCCGAAACCAAAAATCACAGAAACTTGAAATTTTCAGTGGACATCAAAAAAGGATAGACGAGCAGTTATACCAAAAAATCAGCCTTCTAGCTCTAAAAATGTTGAGTGCAGAGCAGAAAGACTGCCTGGGGGGTGGCCCATGTGCGGGCGAGGGTTAACACAGGAGCACAGGAGAGAGAGAGAGAGAGAGAGAGAGAGAGAGAGAGAGAGAGAGAGAGAGAGAGAGAGAGAGAGAGAGAGAGAGAGAGAGAGAGAGAGAGAGAGAGAGAGAGAGAGAGAGAGAGAGAGAGAGAGAGAGAGAGAGAGAGAGAGAGAGAGAGAGAGAGAGAGAGAGAGAGAGAGAGAGAGAGAGAGAGAGAGAGAGAGAGAGAGAGAGAGAGAGAGAGAGAGAGAGAGAGAGAGAGAGAGAGAGAGAGAGAGAGAGAGAGAGAGAGAGAGAGAGAGAGAGAGAGAGAGAGAGAGAGAGAGAGAGAGAGAGAGAGAGAGAGAGAGAGAGAGAGAGAGAGAGAGAGAGAGAGAGAGAGAGAGAGAGAGAGAGAGAGAGAGAGAGAGAGAGAGAGAGAGAGAGAGAGAGAGAGAGAGAGAGAGAGAGAGAGAGAGAGAGAGAGAGAGAGAGAGAGAGAGAGAGAGAGAGAGAGAGAGAGAGAGAGAGAGGAGAGAGAGAGAGAGAGAGAGAGAGAGAGAGAGAGAGAGAGAGAGAGAGAGAGAGAGAGAGAGAGAGAGAGAGAGAGAGAGAGAGAGAGAGAGAGAGAGAGAGAGAGAGAGAGAGAGAGAGAGAGAGAGAGAGAGAGAGAGAGAGAGAGAGAGAGAGAGAGAGAGAGAGAGAGAGAGAGAGAGAGAGAGAGAGAGAGAGAGAGAGAGAGAGAGAGAGAGAGAGAGAGAGAGAGAGAGAGAGAGAGAGAGAGAGAGAGAGAGAGAGAGAGAGGAGAGAGAGAGAGAGAGAGAGAGAGAGAGAGAGAGAGAGAGAGAGAGAGAGAGAGAGAGAGAGAGAGAGAGAGAGAGAGAGAGAGAGAGAGAGAGAGAGAGAGAGGGAGGGAGGGAGGGAGGGAGGGAGGGAGAGAGAGAGAGGTGATGGTGTCGGGTAGGGACCATAGGAGCGTCGACCTCCCTGAAACAGGGCGACCTTGGCTGGCCGTCCTTGGACCCGTCGCCCTGCCGTGGTCGGTCTCCGTTTTTACAGTCCATCGGCCCGGCTACACAGCACATCGTGTGATATTTATAAAAAAAAAAACATTCCTAAAATGTACCGCACTGCGTGCCAGATAGGGAAATATAGTGCGCGCACTGATCATATCAGTTGAGCTGACCGGCTGGCAACCTCGCAAGGCTCCCAGGCACGTCGCCCTGAACAAGGCGATAAAATGCGGATAAGGTACCTATATAGGAATGTCGACTTGGACACCAAAATTATGCAGTTTAATGGGCGTTAAATTTAAGAAGAACTACTCAACGTGGTAGCGGCATTTACTTGTAAAAAGCTGAAGCATACGCGCTTTGTCTTTCTTTCGCTAACATTTCTAGCACAAAATCCCTGTTATTTATCGAGAGCATAAAATGTTATCCTGTCCAGCATATATCACATTGATCAAAGCAGATGATTGCGAAGTGTTGATGTATCTAAAGCTGTTATATTGTCGGCTCCTTTTGTAAACAAACGGAAATATCAAAAGTCAGCGATAAACTGGAGTTAAATGTGACCCATCACTCACCACTATCGAACAGTTGATCAGGAAATGGTCCGATGTGCTACCTCCTTCATAGAAACCAGGAAGTCGAAAACAAGGTTATCAAATATCTGGACTTCAGCCCTGTCCACCGTCTGCTCGAAAACATGAGTTTCGACACCGTGATTTTGAATTTGCATAGCATTATCGGTAGCACGTCGCAGCAATGTCGACGAAGGCATGCTCTAGTTGAGCTGCTTCCATATCGAGCATATCACGCGGGCACTGCGGACGCCGTATTCGGTCCTGCAATTCGTATTGTGAATATCCCTGAATCTGATGATGCTGTGCATGGAACGTCTTCCAGCAACGTGCCTCATTTTTACCGGGACTTGGCTCGTCACAGAATGTAGATTTATTGGATGTGAATATGTGGACATTTGTGATAAACAGCCCGGTCCATGTTCCGACCGCTGACGGATCCCCGGCGCGCCCGCCGGCGTCACGCCGTCCCTCTGAGCGCCCGGTCCACGCGCGGTGTCGCGCCGATCGGACACTGCCTGCCGGCCGTACTGGGAAGGCCTCACTCGTCATACCCGCGGCTCGGCCGATCCCGCGTCGTCCGCCCTTGTTGTGATGCAGACTCGGCGGCGGCGCCATCCGTCACGGTGACAGCGCGCACACGGCGCCCAGATTGGCGCCCCGGCCGGCACGGGCGCCGCCGACAGCTGGACCAATCGCCGACATCCATTGCACGTCTGCCGTGCCATGCGTCACCATCAGTGGCGTCACGCGGCATCGGTCTGCCGGCGGCCACCGCGGCGGCAGCGGCAGCGGCAGCGCGTGCCGCGACCTTCCGCCGGGCGTCAGTGGCCGGCCGGTACCGGCGGCCCGCTCTCCGGCCGGCCGGTACCGGCGCGGCGGCCCGCACTCAGGCCGGTACCGGCGGCCCGCGCTCCGGCCGGTACCGGCGGCCCGCTCTCCGGCCGGCCGGTACCGGCGCGGCGGCCCGCGCTCAGGCCGGTACCGGCGGCCCGCGCTCCGGCCCGCGGAGGGTGGCCCGCACTCCGGCCGGTACCGGCGGCCCGCGCTCCGGCCGGCCCGCGGAGGGCGGCCCGCACTCCGGCCGGTACCGGCGGCCCGCGCTCCGGCCGGTACCGGCGGCCCGCGCTCCGGCCGGCCCGCAGAGTGCGGCAGAGCGCTGCGCCCCAGACACATGGCCCGGAGATCCCTCGCCAGGTAGCCGCCGTCGGTAGGAGACCATCGCTCACGCGCTGATGAATGCTCACAGGATCGGCGCCAGATTAGCGGATCGTTAACGCACGCACTCCAGGGGCCCCGGCTGGAAGACGGAAAACGAACAGAATCGGAATATCTCGCGGCTCGGCCGGGAACACGTTCGGGGAAATAGGAGCCCCGGAGGTCGGCTGATAACGTTACGTAGAAAATGTGTCACCTGGGTGGCGCATAATGTTAACAATTGTAAAGTCAAAAGGACGAAAGTGTGCTCAATTGTAATACGTATAGCTTATCAGTTATCACAAAATGGAAAAGTTCAAAGACTTTTTTCATATCGGACATTAAGCGTCTTTTGAATTTTGCTGAATCATTCAACACAAAACAAATGTTTTATTTATCAGCACTTTTTAACATTTTATCGTTAGACCGCCGGCAAAAAATACCTTTTCAAGAAAGAGAAGCAATTCCGTGTCTGATATTTTCTCACTACAATTATTTTGCCGTCTTTGTACTCCAACAAATCTTCAGTGACATATATCGTCAGCTAGCGTGGCAGAATTGTGACCCTCCGCCCAGTGAAATATGCTGATTAAAACGATAAAGATGTCGTTGACACATCTAAGTGCTGAATAGTTTCTGCAAATGTGACACCAACGCCGCTTCGTCGCGGAGAGTCGGGCCGACGCGTCTAGACGCCCCCATACATATTCCTGAGCGCGGAAGCATTCTTCTTGTCAACAAGCGGCTATTGTTCAACAGAATTATGCTTTAGTTCTTCTAGCACAGAAATTCTTCATATTATATATTACTTTAAAACGTTTACATGCAATAGGTATACCTAGGTATGCCTTCTCCCTGCCCGCGTGATTGTTACCCATTATACTCGGATCTAAGCCGTAATCGCCACGCCATATGTAGAAGGCTTTTGGATGTCAATACATACATACGTACATACATACCTACATATGTACGTCTTAGGATTTTAAAGTATGAAGAGGTAACTCGGGCAAAATAAGGATAGGTGTTTGGAGTTACATATTTTGTGTACAATCGTAGATTCGTGGTACAGTTATGGTTTAGAATGCGAGTCTAAATCACGATAAGACTATTCCTCCATAGCAAAATGGTAAATCATATGCCGCTTTCTGTACACAGGTCTTGTCTAGAAAACTACAGACAACCCGATTGACGCTGACGATTGACATGTTGAAACTGTCAGCCGTTCAAAAACTTTGACACCAACAAGGCCACGAACAAATTAACTCAAATATGTAGGCTTAGTCTCATCATTCGCGCTGTTTTACCGGCACTTGGGGAGTCAAACCCCTATAATCCCCAGCCCAGGTGAGGACAGGACAGCCGCGGCTCCGGGGCCGGAGTGCAGGACCGCGCCGTGGGGTCGAGGACCGAAGCCGAGGCGGAAGTGACCTCGGCACCTGTCGAGAGTCGGCTGACCCGTCGAGAACAAAACAGGCCGGCCCGTTTGGGTTGGCGCGCGCCGGCCGGCCATACGTTACGGTGCCGCCGCGTATCGCCAATGGCCTGTGAACGGCAGCCGGTGGCCGGCGCGCGGCGATTGATAGTGTTTGGGTGGGCCGCCGGACCCGCGGCCCTGCCCGACACAGGCTCGCCACAGGCCCGTCCGGTGGTGGGGGCGCCTTTGCGGAGTCCCGTACACGCCTTATCGGTGATTTGATGCGATGTCTGTCCTCCGATCGAACACGAAACTGTCCACAACTTCCAGCTCCCACCGATCTTTGCGGATTTATTGATGGGATTGGAGATTGTGAAGTGGACTCTATTCGGTTATGGTTCCGAAGAACATTTAGGTATGAATACAGTTTAGAGTCTAAGACTGGCTCAAGGTCGCTGCGGTGCAGCTGACAATATCAAAATAATCTCTCGTTTAACATTCCTATGAAAATGATTTATGGATTATGCCAGACTCGAAACATTTTTAGAAAATTATGATTCATTTGATTATGCGTAACACGTTTCCATTTCGTCAGATTTACCGTGGAGCTGTTTTCGTGCACAGTTACGATGTAGGTAAGCAGGCCACTGCAGCCAGCTGCACCTTACCTCAGAGGTTTGAGGAATGCAGATACAAATGTGGTGCATGCTGAAATCAAATTTACATGGATATGCAAATGGAAACAGAAATATGGTTCGTTATCCACTAGCCAGAGGCCAAGCTGGTCCTTGAGCATTTATTCCGGCTTTGAAGAATATCATGTAATTATAAACTGGAATATCAATCGATATAAAAATGAGTTGAGCGTGGCTTCATTTCTGCCATATTTTGCTAATGATTGAATTCTAATGAAGGGAAACCCATCTAGAAGTAACCCTTTGAACGACGTAGTGTCATGATTACTGTAAATTAATTTGAATATTCCTTGGCAGAGCTGTTATTTATTGACGGAGCTGTCAGCACCTGCAGTGACCACTGACCAGCTTCGTGATGATCTTGTCGTGTCGTGTCACATCCGCCATGTGTTTTTCACGGCGATGTGAGACACGGTGCAGGGCACCATATCAGGTGACACGGACGTGTGGTCGGTCCGTGCACCTCTCCCTGGTCACGTGCTCACGGGCCTTGCACCGCCATCTCCCCTCGGCTCTCCTGACGTCTGACAGCTCGATCTGCGCTGTTCTTAATTTCCACCTTAGCTGAGGCGCCTCAGACTGAGGGGACGGACCCTGTCATCCCTCTGCATGCGACAGAGACAGCGTGCTGAAACTGAACTGAGATGTTCAGCAGTGCCAGCCGGATAGAGGCCAGTGCTGGTGTCCACAGCACCTGAGAATAGCGCCGAGTCTTATCGCCCGGAGGCCTCTGTCCGCTGGCCAGTCGCGTTTTCTGTATCTCTGAATGGCGTCGTTTGGAGGCGCGCTGACAGGTGGTGGCGGGCATTCTCGACAGTCACGGTGACGCGGCGCGACTGTCACACTCTGTGACGTGGGAACGCCTGGAGCCGGGCCAGCATGCATGTGGCAAATCCCAACATGGTGTTAGTTCACAGTAGCTGGGGTCTTCCGTCCATGTGTGCTGTGGAGTAATCAGAATTATATTCCGCACGCTAATTCAACCACCCTCAGCACTGGCTCCGTGCATCGCGGGTGGACATTGCGACTCTGAAAAAGTGGGGAAGAGGAACCTAATGGAGACATTTAATTACGACACAAGCCCTCAGGCGACTTTATGGCGAGTCGACAGCATTCTGTTTAAGCCACAACAAGGCAGCTGTTCCACTAATTAAATCCGGACGACGGGTTAATGATCAACGTCAGCTCAATGCCACGTTCACATCATACTGAGGGTCGTAAAGAAACCCACTGTCCCTCGACATGAGCAGATAACAATGGCCATCAACCCAGGGCCCTATTATCTTCCATCCGAGTTGACACTTTTGAAAGCCTGCAAATATTGTGAACAATATGGGAAATTCACAAACATGTCCTTTGCATCATTCCGTCACAATGATTTGCAATCGGCTAAGACACGTTTAATACCGGGAGTTCCTAAATAAACAGTCGTATTTAAAAGCTGTATATTATCAGCATGGAAGGCACGACAAAAACGAATCACTTTCTTACATACACAATAGTCGATGCCATTTCACGTGATACCATCTTCTTTTTGCTGTCTTTTCATTTGCGGCCACAGAGGACGTGTTCCAGATGAGCCCCCTCTCGCTCCACACACAGCTCTGCGCGTCGCCGAGCGGACTCCACCGCAGCCCGGCAGATCTCCGGCCGCACTCGGCGCACCGCGGACGACACGGCCCTCTTGAGGTCATCTGTGGTTCTGGGGTTGCTTTTGTAGACCTGTGACTTCAGAGGTGACCCCAGAGAAAGAAGTCAAGTGGGGTCAGATCCGGAGAGTGCGGGGGCCAGGTCCGCACCTCTCTGCGGGAGATAACCCGCGAACCGAATCGGTTCCGCAGCCATTCTCGAGTCGCAACGGCCGTGTGCGCCGAGGCTCCGTCTTGTTGGAACTATTGTTGGTCCATCAGCTGCCTGTCTCCACCCAGCCGCCTGTTCAGCGCAGTCCAGAACTTGGCTAGGACTTGCCGGTAGCGCTGAGCGTTGACGTTGACAGACTCCCCAGCGTCGTTCTCAAACCAGAAAGGTCCGATTATGCCACTGCTGCTCATTGCACACCAGGCTGTGCACTTCACACTGTGCAGAGGGGCTTCCGCGACCAAATCGGGTGGCTCCGTCGACCAGAATCGAAAATTCTGGGAGTTCACGCGGCCATCCATATGAAAATGGGCCTCGTCGCTGAACCAGATTCGGTGAAGGAACTCATTGCCCTGCTCGCAATTTCTCAAAAACCAGCCGCTGTAAAGAAGCCGTGACTGTTTGTCGACTTTCGACAGTGCTTGGTGAACGGAGACCTTATACGGGAACAGCTGAACGTCGTTTCTGGCCAAACGGTGAGCGGTGGTTTTGCTACAGCCCAGTTCCTGGCCCAGCCGTCTGAGCGACTTTTGTGGGCTCCTCTGGAGGGCTTCTCGTGCGTTTTGGGCGTTTAGAGGCGTCCTCTTGGTTCTTTTTCGGCCACATTTACCCTTTTTTACGTTCTCCACACTACCTCTTGCCAAAAACTTCTCAACTATACTTAAAATGACGGTTCTTGATGGCACTTGGGTCCTTTTTAAGTGTCGCCGTAGCTTACGTTGTGTTGCAACGATTGACTTTGTCTCAAAATAGAAATGTACTATTTTTGTTTTTATGTCTGTACTATACGGCTGCATGATGGAAAGTGATTGATTTTGGTATGAAATAAAATGGCATTGCACGTGCTATCATCACGTGCAATTTGATTGGTGTGATTTTGTTAGTTGACGCCACTTGAGGCAAAAATAATTCGACTGTTTATTTAGGAACTCCCGGTAAGTATGTAGTTACCTTTTCCAGCCTTGTCGCTGCTGTGAGGGCCAGTCAAACGTCCACGACCACTTGGCTCGGGTGGCCGGCTGGTCAAGTGGGGA